TTAACTTGTGTTTCTACTCTGCTTTTTATGGCACTATTTTTGGTAGGTTGGTCTGTTTTTTTCCCTTTGTGTAAAAACAGAAGCAAAAAACAAGTTAAATAGTTCTGCTTTCTCCCTATTGTTTGTCACCTTCTTGTCACTTTCACCTACTAATGGACAAATCATTTCCTTCACTTTTATCTTGTTTTTTACACATTGAAAGAAGCTTTTTTTGTTATTTTTCACTTTGGTCGCAAGGCTTAGTTCATTATGAGCCTTAGCTTTCCTGACTTCATCTTTGCAGGCTCGGACTATTTGCTGATTTCTAACTTAGTTATGTGCTCCTCTTTCCACTTTCTATACTTCTCCTTTTTATGTTTCAATTTATCAGAGAGTTCTTTATGCAGCCATGCTGGTTTGTTTTGAGAGCTGTTATTTTTCCTCTTTGCTGGTATTGTGCTAAACTGGGCTTTTATTATCTCACTTTTCAAACTTTCTCAAGCTTCTTCAGTTGTTTTCCCCTTGAGGATTCTCATCCATGAAATCATTCTCAAGCCCTCTCTAAGTTTATTGAAATTAGCTCTCTTGAAATCGAAGACTCTAGGTTGACTGTGTTCTATTGCTTGTGCTTCCATAATGTTGAATTCCAATATTGCATGATCACTTCCTCCCAAGGTTCCTGTGGCTTCAACACCTTTTATCATTTCATCTCTGTTAGTGAGAATTGGATCCAAAATGGCTAATTCCCTAGTTCCCTTCTCTACTTTTTGGGAGACAAAGTTGTCTGCTAGGTTTGTCAGGAAGCTGTTTGATCTTCCACTTGGTGCAGAGTTTGTCTCCCAGTTGATGTCAGAATAGTTAAAGTCCCCCATTACTATTGTGATGTGCTTCCTATATACCGTAGTTAGCTAACTAGCAAAAAAAATGCATCTATTTCCTCTGTTTGGTTAGGTAGCCTATAGTATACACCTATGGCAATGTCATTTCTCCCCTCCCCTTTTATATTGACCCAAACTGCATTCAACACATTGTTGTGTTCTATTTCTGTAGAGATGTAGTTATTTCTTATATAGAGAGCAATTCCACCTCCTTTTTTATTTGGTCTGTTTCTTTTAAATAAAGCAAGCACAAGCAACTGAACAAATTCCGGCTAGTGTTTTAGACTTTAAGAGAGTTGACTTCAACAGACTAAGAAAGAGAATAGTGTTAAAGGAAAAGTCTTCATCATGGTTCAGTCCAAGCCGGGAATAAACAACATGGTGATTACTTTAGAAAGAAAGTTGGAGTTTACTGAAGAGGAGAACGAGACAAAAAGATGACTCTGGAAGAAAAGAGAGAGCAAGCACATGTAGGGAGTGGATTTTTATACACTCTGGAGCCTTTTGTTTGGAATTGTTCCTGTGGAATGAACCTGAGTCTGAGTGTGCCCTTTGGTATTTGTGGTATCCTATTATGTCCTTTCTTAGAGTTTGAGTGGGATATGTAGATTTTAAGTGTCTTTGTCTTCTCAATCTTCTAGCTGGGGATCTCCAACTTCCTGGATTATTTACATCTGCATTTTTACAGAGCTGGTTTCTGCTTGCGGGAGGGAGACTTGGGGCTATTAAAAAAAGTGGGCATGCTTTTCTGCCTCTTTAATATTTCCTTCTCTGGTGAGGGGGGTGACTTCTCACAATAGGAAGGAGTCCATGGATAAAAAGGGGTGTTGTCTTACCTGAACGCCTTTTCTCAGCAAGGATGGATAATCCACCAATGGGTTTAGACCAGTGGTTCTCAACCTTTCTAATGCCGTGACCCCATAATACAGTTCCCCATGTTGTGGTGACCCCCAAGTGCGGGTGGCCACCAATAAGAGAGAGTAGGACAGCTAGGGAAAAGGGAAAAAAATGGCAGACAGCGTGGTTTGGTGACCCCCGTGAAATGGTCGTTCGACCCCAAATGGGGTCCCGACCCACAGGTTGAGAACCACTGGTTTAGACTGTGTTCCTGCCCAATCAGATCAGTCAGTCAAAGCTGCAACGCCTGTCCTGGGCTAGCGTCTCCCAGTCTCGATGCAGGCGAAGCCCTGACTGACAGCAAGACGTGTTGGCTCATAAATCTAGCTCTAGGCCTAAGCAACATAAAAGGGCGGGAGTGGATTATCCATCCCCGTGCTGAGAAAAGGCGTTCAGGTAAGACAACGCCCCCTTCTCCAGCACTGGAGATGGATAATCCACCAATGGGACATACCAAAGCCTACTGTCCCTGAGGGAGGGGAGCAGGCCAGTCTAGCGTGGCACTTTGAGTTACGACCTGCTGGAGCACCCTCCTACCAAAGGAGGCTTCCGCAGAGGCAAACCTGTCAATCCTGTAATGCCTTATAAAGGGGGATGGTGAAGACCATGTGGCTGCTCTGCAAGCGTCCTCAATGGACGCCTGAGTGGTCCAGGCCACGGAAGTAGCCACCCTACGGGTCGAGTGTGCTGTCATCTGCCGTGGAACCGGCAATGATTCAGCCTGGTGCCCTAATCCACCTACCAATCGTGGAGGAGGACACCTTCCAACCCTTAGAAGAAGGATGGAAGGAAACAAAGAGGGCCTCAGAGTTGCGGAAGGTAGCTGTCCATGAGATGTAATAATGCTCTGCAGACATCCAGAAGGTGCCATTGCTGTTCCAGGGCATGAGATGGGTGAGGACAGAAGTCCGGCAGTACAATTTCTTGAGCCCTGTGGATGAGAGAATTGACTTTCGGGAGGAAGGTAGGATCCAGACGAAGGACCACTCAGTCCTGATGAAAGAGGCATAAGATATCCCTGACTGAGAGCACCGCCAGTTCCAATATTCGTCATGCAGAGGTAATTGCCACTAGGAATGTGACCTTGTGTGATACATACCGTATATCACATGTCTTGAGGGGCTCAAAGGACGGTCTGGTTAGAGCCCGGAGGACTCGCAGTAGGTCCCAAGACAGAAACTTGTGCACTACAGGGGGCTTGGTGTTAGTAGCCCCCTTGATAAAAGATAGGATCAAGGGATGATGACCTAGGGAAACCGCAGAGTCATGGGTAAGTACAGTGGAGAGAGTGGAAACCTGTCTGCGTAATGTGTTTGGGGCCAAGCCCCTCTCAAGGCCCTGTAGAAGGTAATCCAATTATGTGTGGAATTGTCAAGTCTGGAATGGTCAAGTGGTGGGTCGAGCACCACGAACAGAAGTTCCTCCAAGTGGCCTCATAAATCCAGTTGGTAGAGGACCAGCAGGAGGCCTGGATTACAGTAATGACCCCAGGTGAGCAGGACTCCTATGACAGGATCAAGCGTTCAAGTGCCAAACGGCTAACTGGGGGTCTGGATGAAGAAGGGTCCCCTGGCTGAGTGAGACTTGCTCCGGGGGAATCCTCCATGGGGCCCTAGAGAGAGACTTACTGCGTCGGTGAACTATGGTCTCTGTGGCCAATACAGGGCCACTAGAAGAACCTCTGCCTGCTCCTGAAGAAGCTTGCAGACAACCGCCAGAAGAAGAGGAAGAGGCGGGAATGCATAAAGCAGTCCCTTCGGCCATGGGCTCTGAAGAGCATCCGCTCGTTTCACCCCTGGAGACGGAAAGCGGGAAAAGAATCGCCGTAGATGAGCGTTTGTCGGGGAGGCAAAGAGATCTAGAACTGGCAATCTGAAGCGGTAGCAGATCTCAACTGAATATTCTTGGGTGTAGGCGCCATTCCAAATGATCCACCATCGCCTGGCTCAGGAAGTTGGCCTGAGTGTTTGCCTCCCCTGAAATGTGATCTGCCTTGATGGAGGCCAGGTTGGCCTCTGCCCAGGAGCCCAGCAGGAGAGTCTCGGGCAAGAGTGCACAAGATCAGGTGCCCCCTTGCCGGTTCACATGTACCTTGGAGCCACATTGTCCATGAGGACCAATACATGACGCTTTGCTACTGTGCTGCGAAAGTGGCGCAGGGCGAGGTGTACTGCCCTGAGCTCCAGCCAGTTGATATTGTGCCAAAGGTCGGAGTGGGACCAACGGCCCTGGGCCCACTGTGAGCAAAGGTGTGCTCCCCAGCTGAACAGGCTGGCATCGGTCGTAAGGGTGAATTGATTGGGCTCCTTGAAGTAAGACCCCTTGAGCATGGCCGATGAGAGCCACCATGTGAGGGATCATGAGACCTGAAGTGGAAGTCTCACCCTTCGATTGGAGGAACCGATGTTCAGTCTCTGGAAGGGGAGTAGGAACCACTGGAGATTCCTGGAATGGAATTATACAATGTACAATCGCAATGGCCGAGATCATCTTCCCCAATAATTGGGAGGGGCTGACCAATATTACTGTTTGACCCTGTGGAATTGAAGAATCGACTCCCTGATGCTGTCCTGGCATTTCTGGGATAAGTAGACCCGGCATTCCACCGTGTCTATGATGGCCCCTAGGTGCAACACCCTTGTTGTGGGGATCAAATGGCTCTTGGAGAAGTTCACCGAGAACCCGTGATTCTGGAGCAGCATTATCACTAGTTTGAGATCTGCCTGAGCGGCCTGGATCAACAATGACGGGATTAAAATGTCGTCCAGGTAGCACTGGACTCTGACTGCCACCAGTCTCAGGTGAGCTGCTAGAACTGCCAGGATATTGCTAAAGATCATCGGAGTCGAGGATAGGCTGAACGGGAGTGCCCTGTACTAATAATGGTGTCCCCTGTGGGCGAATCTTAGAAACCGGCGGTGGGTGAGAGAGATGGGGATGTGAAGGTATGCCTCTGTGAGGTCGATAGACGTCAGGAAGTCCCCCCTTCTTATGCTTCCCAAGATGGACTGGAGCGTTTGCATCTTGAATTTGCGGTATGCAAGATGATAGTTTAATCCTTTTAGATCCAGGATGGCTCTCCATCCTCCAGATGCCTTGGGGACAACGAAGAGGACCTCTCTGATCCAATGGCACTGGTTCTATGGCCTGTATGTTTAAGAGGTGAACATACAGGCCAGTAGTTTTTTCTTTGCTGGATTTCATAGTTGGGGACAAGAAATGAAGAGATTTGGAGGTTTGGAGATGAACTCCAGGGAAAGTCCATGACGCACAGTGTTTCATCCTTGTGCAGGGGCCATGCTAATCTTCTCTGTATCGTTCCAATTTTAGTATATATGCTGCCAAAGCGAGCACTCTGTCCTGTCTGATAGAGAAAGAATGGTTGGGCTGGGAGTAGTTGGACCTGGCTCCAGTGCAAAAGGGCTGTCTCCATGAATAGGTATTGGGATGTTTGTCTGACCGTTTAAGGAGGTGGTTAAGTACCTTACGTTTATCCTTATTTTCAGTGAGGTAAGGATTCAGAGCTTCACCAAACAATTTCCCTCCCTGATAAGGAGCTTCTGACAAGCGCCATTTGGACTTGGCATCAGCATGCCAGTGTTTCAACCAGAGCATATGGCGGCCGATGATGTTGGCTACCATGGCTCTGGAGGAAAATCTGGCGGCTTGGAGGGTGGTGTCAGACACATATTCCGTAGCCACCATCATCTTACTTAGATCTTGATGTGTGCGGATGTCATCTGCCAGTATCCTGGCCTGAAGCTGTCTAAGCCAGGTGAGAGCAGACCTGTTAAAAAAGGATGCAGAGGTAGCTGCTCTGATAGCTTACGCTGCGGCTTGATGCATTCTACGGATAGTTCATATTTACGGTCCTCAGCCTTGAGGGCCTCCGACACGTTGCCAATAATGACAGTTGGAGACACAAGGGTCTTAAAGGTTCATCTACCGCGGGTACCTCCAGAGCCACCTCCAGGTCCTGGGCCACGTTATAAAGTTTTTTCTCATTACTACTTGGAAGGGGAAGAGAGGCCGGGGATACCCATTGCTTTCGGACTGTGTTGAGAAACATGGGGGGACAGAGAATCCGGTGTTGTGTCGTTACCGGTTCAGTGAAATTCAGATCCGCCTCCGAGTCTGGAGCAATTGAAGTTGTCATTGTGGAAGGTTGAAGATGTGCCGTGGAAGTGGCCTTGCGAAGCCGGGGAACAAAAAAGGCAGGGTTAAAGAGACCACTAAATGATGGTGTCTTGGGGGGGGGTCCTCCTCCTCGGACATCGGAATCTCCAGGTCAGCCTCGTATTCACGAGATGACGAATTCTCTGAGTAAATGGACTGCGACGGGGAAGAAGGCGCATGATAGGACTCAGTAGCCAGCTGGTGAGTGGGTTGAAAGGTGACCGCGGCTGATCTAGTCACTTGCGACCTCAAGAGCGCGCTCTACCGCCTGTGCAATCATCCGAGCCAGGCAGTCCTTCGTGGGGAGGGGAACCGGTTCACTTGGCCTAAGCCCGGCTGCCGTGGGGGTGAAAGTAGCTTTGGGGGCCATACATTCAGCCCATGAAGCAGGGGGGCTGAATGATGGGATAAACCCTGTCTGTATCCCCTGGTGCGGGAGATGGAATGGGTTCCTCTGTTGACCATATCCCCAGTGGAGAAGCAGAGGGCCCCAGGGGCAGATCAAAAGAAGATGCTTTGGCTTGTGAGGTCTCCAGCCTGGCTAGCTTCTGTGCTTTAGAGAATTCCTTCTTTAGGGCTTTGTGTCTCCTGGTGGTCTGTTTTTCGGCTCCCTTGGAGACCTTTGGGGTAGACCGTGCCTGGGCCTTTGCCAAATTCCTACCTGCAGTCTCTTGATTAGCAGATTTATGGCGTCTGGCAGTCGAGGAGGAGGACGGGGTGCCATCCTTTTCAGGGAGCCTAGTATCCTCCATCCTTGGGTAACGCAGGAGCACGATGGGGGCCCCTGATATCCGGAGACTGCTATTGGTTGGATAAGAACAGGCGCACTATAGGGGACGCCTGGTATCCAGACCGAGTTATTTGTTAGATAAGAACAGACGCACGATAGGGAGCACCTGGAATCCAGACAGAGCTGTTTGTGTGGATAAGAACAGGCGCACAATAGGGGACGCCTGGAATCCAGATAGGATTGCCGTGCGGATAAGAACAGGCGCATGACAGGGGATGCCTGGAATCCAATTAGAGCTATTAATATGAGTAGGCCTAGGATCCCAATGGGGAATCCTGGCTTTCAGGAAGACCTGGAGACACCAAAACACCCAGAAATTGAATCCAAGGAAGTTAAGCGCACTTGAAAGAATGAACAAACCATATAGAGACAGACTAGCCAAGGAGGCTGAGAAATGGGTATAGCACAGACCAGAGTAACTGTGGAGGTGAATATTAACTGAGGCCTGGGAGGCCTGAAATGGAGTTTAAGGTAAGAATCTGAAATGTGGTCCTACATAGGGAATAGAAGCCTATCAGCTGTGTGAGTCACAAAATGGCCACCCCTGAGGAAAAAAGGGGAATATAAAATGGCAGCCGCTATAAAAATGGTGACCATACACTCCCTGAAAATCTCTCCTAAATTTCAGCCCCCTGAGTGCTTTAATCTGGAATCTCTTGGGATGCTAGAGAAACGAACTAGAATACTTGGGGAAATGGAGGAAGGAGCCCCTTCCTCCATTGAGTTCGTCTGCAAGCTGTTCAAAATGGCGGCCATGTGAGGGAAATGAGGTAAGGCCCAAGCGCAGGAGTAATTCTGAAACCCTGTGGCCCAGAATGCAGCCGGCAGCGAGCTTGGGGCAATTAGGTGCTAACGATCTCTCCGCGCCGTTCCTTGGCAAAGGAGATTGCAAACCCATTTTTCGGCGTGCCTCTTCAAACAGCCGCCGCACAGCTGATTTGCGGCCGCCTGAGGGAAGCTGCGATCTCGCTTAGGAGACTGTAGCTAGTAACTCCTACCAGTGAGGCAGCAAACAAATGAGCCGTCCCGATCCCCAGAGTTGCAGCCGCAGCTTTGGAAAGCTGAAAAAGAGGAAAAATTTGAAAACGGAGCTTCCGGACGATGCCGGCTCCAAAGGGCTTCCCTCGCCTGTGCGCACGTGTGGGGACCAGAGCTGCAGCCACAGACTCCGGTAGGATTAAGGGAAGCAGAGAGACGAGTAACAAAAGAAAAAAATCTTTTGGGGACCTGGGGCAGCCCTGATCCCAGAGCTGTTCAGGAATGAGCAGGGAATGGGGGGATGGGGGGGGGGAATATCTTTCCTCCATTTCCAAATGGCATAAGAGGGAGGAGAGAGGTTTTCCCTCAACCAGGGTAAATAATAATAATAATGAAATGGGAAAAGAAACGGAAAACTGAATACCAGCACTGATTTCAGCGCTGCTCAGAAAACTGTGTCTATAATGGAAAAATCCACCAATGGAGACTATACCTGCCTAAGAGCAGAGGATATTGTACCTATTTCTGTAAGTGCTATCTCTAGAGATGAAGAGGCAGAACCTGGGGTAGAATCAAGAGAGAAGTCTGGCTAGAATCAATACATGTCCACAAATGTTCCTCCAAGTCCACCCTTGAATTCTGTTAACCTTTATCTAGTGCTGATCGTTATTTAACTAGATTCTTGTGTATAAGATTGAGCAATAAATCTTAACATATGGTTCTGATTCTTCATTCCTGACATTTTCCAAGCAAAGCTGGAACCCAAGAAGCACATACTTTACATGTAACTTTGAAAGAAGATCTAATCTTTGGCATGTTTAGGTAGGTCTAGGAAAAAAATTGTTACAGAAATTTGCTGCCGATCAGAATATATAATGATGAATAATATAAATTTGACTTACCTATGTATTTAACATGTTTGTTGTTATAATAGAAAATAACATACTTTTACTAAAGAGATTCTCCAATTTTACATTATAAACTGTCACTATTATATATTCTAATGAGAAGATTCACAAAACTCTATTATAATCAAGATGTATATAGAGCAGTAGAAATTTTATAGATTCAATATTCCATTGAATGTGCGAATTAATGAAGCTAGTAGATGTGTGCAAATCTTGTCACAAGGATGACTTTATTCTCAGGCATAGACTCTTACATTAAAGAGTTTGGCTATACAAGTAATGAAAAAGGCTGAGTGGTTAGGATCACTCGGGAAGGGATCCATTCTTATATGTGCCCTTTAGTTGGTCTCATACCAGTGTAAGATCATCATTATATAAAACTACAAACCCTACTTTCCATCTTTGAATCTGAATGTTCAAATAAGAGCAGCATCTTCTTCATATTCCTGCCTCCCTACTCTGGTTAACATTTTGCTATTACTATGCTGGATCAATGTAACCCTGACTAGAGCATATAGATCTATATGTTAGAATGTTTGGCATTTATTGGGTTAAGTGCTGTCTCCTTAAGAGATGGCTTATGGATAATGTAGTGTAGCTATTCAGTTAATCCCATGTTAACAGGTCAGTAGGAGGAGCTACTAAGTTTATCACAGGATATCCTGGCTACGTGCCAGTTTGGAATGCTTTTGTCTGAGATAAGCATGGGACCACAGCAGGACACACATGGTTCCATTCCATGCTAGAAGTTGATATGAAGGAATTATTAACTTTTTATCTATAAGGATGAACAGATGTGCAATATCCAGATGAAACTACCAAGAAACATGAGTTCAGCAGTATTCCTGAATAAATGTATGTTTTGAAATTATCTTTATTGAGTCATCTGTCTGACCTTGGATTAAAAAGCATCTTGATTCAGGTTTCAGAACAATTACATAAAACATACTCAGGGAACAACTTAGTCAACAATAAACATGAGAAGTCCAAACATCCATTCTGAGTAAGCACTAGAATTTGCCTGGGAACTAGATCCTTGGCTTTAAAATGGTGACTCCTTAATGATGCCAGATGTGCAGAAAGCTTTGATGACAAGAAATTGTGACAAAAGAAATTAAAAAAGCAACACACATTGATGAAACCTCAGCAACTGGTGCTCAAAACATGTATTTGTAAAATCCCACAAAACTTACTGAAATATTTCAGGGCCTCTCTGAGTTGGATTGTACAATGCAATCTTAATGTTTTATTCTTCAATCAAGTAGTTTGCTCTATAATCCATGGTTGTGTTTTCTGATGGTCTCAGTTTAAAGGCATAGGGAGGAAACGCAATAGTTACCAAGCTCAGAAAAAACAGTAATGTTTCTAGAAGGAGAATTTTTATTGAATTCTGTATTTTATAAATCAGGAGACTTTAACTCACATTACTAGCAAGGTCAGTAGTGAATATATAATGAGAATGAAGAAGATCCTAATGTCCAAACTCAGTGAAGGCAATATCAAGGCAATTAACACCTGGACAACTCCAGTCATATACACACTGGAGTAGTGGACTGGACCCAAGCAGAAGTAGAAACCTTGGATAAAAAGACCAAAAAAATAAAGTCAATGAAATCATGCCCTTCATTCATGCAGTGACACTGACAGACTACTGAGGAGTATAAGAAGATGTGGAATGTTGCAAGTTGAGGAAGAAAAAAGGGCACCAGAAAACTATCTGAAGGATAGTGAAGAAGATACATTGAAGCTACTTTACCATGAAGGCTTAATGAATACCAAAGAGACCAAATTAACTAAAAGACTAAATGAAAAACAGAAAAGACAAGGCAAGATATTAAATAGCCAAATAAACAAAAACTAGCAGGCAAAGCAGATAACAACAAGACCTGGTAATGGCTAAGAGCAGCAAAGTTGAAGAAAGAAACAGAGGGACCAATTCCGGCTATACAAGATGAAGCTTAACAATAAATTCATACAAAGCCAAAACTGCGAAGCAGCAACAGACATCAAATCCCATCTTTGCAAAGAAACAGTGAACTGCCCAACTAATTACTGCAAGAAGAATTCACAGACCAACTGCAAACAATGGCATAACCCAGAAGCAACAATGGTGCTTTGGAATATCTGTAAGAAATACTGTTTGCCTATAAGCAAGAACCAGTGGGACCATACAACAAAGTAATAGAAAATGAAGAAGCTAAAGTACTCTGGGGCTTTAGAATTCAAACAGTCAGGCAATTGCCACATAATACCTCAGACTTAACTATTTATTTTTAAAAAGACATATAGCAGCTCCTGGAGACAGAAGAAGAGAAGAGAAAGAACTGGAGAAAATCACGAAATAGAAAAACCTGCAAACAGAAGTAGAATGACTGTGGCAAAGGACAACAAATATATAGTAATACCAATAATAATAGGTGCCTTGGGTGCAATCCCAAAACACCTCCTAGAGCACCACTTCAATACCATCAGCTTTGACAAAAATCACCATCAGTCAGTTGCAAAAGGCAGTTTTATTTGAAACAGCTTACATCCTGTGTCAATACCTTTAATACAATCAGACAACAATATATCCCTATTCCAGGTTCCTAGGGAAGAATTTAATAGGTGGATAAAAATACCAAAAACAATCTAAATCTTGACCAACTATAATAATATATTAAAAGTATGTGCTGTCCATTTTCCAGTGAAACAGTGATTTCCCAAAGAAGAAAACAGAATTTGGGTTTCTGTATTTGATTCAAATATCCTACTGTGGCATGATCCTTTTGCAGAATGGAAATGCCTTTCAATGCAACTGAAAGGCATTGCGTTAAATCATCATTTGCCATACAATGTAACGTTTCATGTACAAAATAAACATTATGTTTTCCTTCAGTTCATTACAAAGCAACTCTGGGATGTTAATGAAACTAATAGACTATTGTTCAGTCAGGTCTTCTTCCCAACAGGGAGAGGACCTTGCTACAACTAAATTAAACACCCCATGCAGGAATTCAGTGCTAGAGTTTTCTAAAAGAGATGTTTGTAATTCCCTGCTAATGCCTAAATATCAGGAAAGTATTTGAGAATTTATTCAAAACCAAACTGTCATCTCAATTGGAAAGTGGAAGAGGTGGGATTCTCTTACGCAATTATTTTAAATATTTTCCTTTCAAATTAAGTATTAATAATAATTAACAAATGTTTAAGAAAAAGCTAATCTTTGCAAAGATGGCAAAAAATAAAAATAAAGATAGTTACTATTACCCAAAAACTGTCCAATTAAAAAAAATCTAAAGCCAAAATAGAATCATAGTATCACATGGGTTTGTGCACAGGAAATCTTCTCTAATGTTGTATCATTAAAGACAGTGAAATATCATTTTCCTCTCTTTTTTTGCATAATTTTCTCATTTCCTCTAAAAAGTAAAACACATTTACTCTCTAGGGATGAATGACAGTGAAATATCAGATCCATATCTCAATAGCTGGGGGGCCAGAAGCATCCAAAAAAGTCAAAATGCTGATTCCACCTGCAAGATCAAAAGCCCATCTAAGTAGTTTTTTTTATATCATTCTCCACTATATATTTAAAGAGAAATCACTATTTTGTACTCATTTTGTATTCAGAACCTCAACTTAATGAATGTGGCAAGAAAAAATTACTTCCAGGTAACCATACAAATGTGTATGTCAATATGTCAATTTCATGTGTCTATTTAAGTATTTCCTTTTTCACTCTTCCTAAAACATAAAAACAGAGAGGACCATTTAGACAAAAAGTGGTTAAGAAAAACTAGCTGAATCTTCTTCCATTAATTTCTGGAAAGAACAATTTCACAGTAGCATCTAAGTCCAAACCATGCATTTCATTTGCCCCAAAAGTACTAGCTGTGATCTGACTTGACCTATGAATAGTCCTGGTTGTTCAGCTCCATCAGGCCTGAGGGTAGGCCAGATTAACTCAAGAACTTGGCCTTTTGTCATGGCTTCCTGCAACCTAAATATGGTGCCGAGCATAAGCTTATTTGCATAATTTCCACCCATCCTTACTTTTCTGAAATTGCAAATAGAGCTTTTCAGCACATAGAATGTCCAAAATCTAAGGATAATCTGATGAATTTAATTTACATAATTGAGCTTTTGGGAGAAATGTACAAGAATTAAGTACATACCAAAACAAGTACAGCAATCCTGACCATATGTTGCAACTCACAGAAGGGCAGGCATGAGAACAACTCAGTTAACCTCATGCTTAATAAACACAATGGCCACACCCTCACAGCTATGTTTATGGGGGAAAGACACTTCCCTGCCAAATGTGCCTTTCCAGCAGCAGGCTCTTCAGCCACATGGATTATATATACACAGCTTTTAACACAAGGAGGCCTTTGGCCCATTTAGGACTCAACCTCTTTAGTGAGTTTAAAACATACCAATGAGATTGTGACCTTCCCCATAAAAAGTACTTGTTAATAGAGATTCTTTCATAATCAGCACAGCCAATAGAGATTCAAAAGCTTATGTGATATGCCTCCTCAACACCCAGTTACCTTGTGCTCTTTATAAACCAAAGTGTATAATAAGAAAAAGAGGAATAATTGGAGGGGATAAGTTTCTCTATAATTTCATACTGAAATTTAATTTAGTTACAGACAAACCACATAATTAAACTCATTGTTTAAGGTAAAGATGTGCATTTCAGGCAACTTGGAAAAAATAGCAAATCAATCATGCAAGGGAGCCTGGACTCTTAACCAAAGCCTTATTATTCATTTTATGAGAATTTGGTGGAGAAAAATTGCCTCAAAACATTAAATAACGCTTTCTATGCTTCATTAAATTTCCCAAGACTACTTGTCTGGGAGAAAAAGAATTATTCAATGGAAAATAACATACAAATCTGGCCTAAGATGGCAAACCATATGTGAGCTGAATAACTTCAGACTCTACCAAGCATCCCCACTTTCACAACAGAAAACAATGTTGGCACAAAGAACCCTTCTCTTTCGAATCCTGGGTAAAGGTTTGAAAAATGTTTTGATGTCTCCCCTCAACTTGGCTGCCTTATCTTGATTCCAATCTCTGCAAGCTTCAGAGCTCACTCCCACAATGCTTCTATGTAGAACATTTTCAAATGATTAAGAATTGCATTTACAGAGGTCATTTTTGGCCATTTCAACTTACCTCCAGGAATAGGAAAAGCAACACTAATATTCCCTGCTGAAAAGGGCTCATTTCTCCTTTTTTTCTCAGTCGAGATTCCTTCTTTCTGCCTGGTTTTCTCAGAGACACTTGGAAGCTGTTAGTAGGAGCGCCATTCCCTCCAGCATTCCGCCTTCAAAAGGTGCAAAAAAGGAAGAGATGGCTCAAGGACGGGATAGGGAAGAGATGTGGTGATGGCAAAAGACCCCAAGTGATCCGGTGAGCGCGAGAAAGGAGAAGTAAAGATCAAAGAGACAAAGGATCCTCGTTCCTTTGCTTGGCTTTGAACTGGAAAGGATCGCTCACTTTCCAGGAGAGACGAACCTGGTTAGAGTTCCGGATTTCTACAATCGCTGGAAAACGCCTCTTATTTAGTTACCAATTACGGCATGTCCCCAATAATTGATGCCCCCGGACGTTGATCCTGCTACGGGAGCAATCCCCAGTGACCAGCAAGGACGGGAGGACTATGCCTAGAAGCAGCACAAAGAGAGGCCGCAACGCAGTTGGCGGAAATAGAATGAATCGCAGGGCAGGGTTTGTAGGATGGAAAGTGCCCGCCCCGAGACCGCCTCGCAGACTTCGCTAAGCAGTAGCTGCTTCACTCGCCCATCGGGCTGCTTCCCCCTACTTCGGTAGAAAAAGCGGGCGGCAAACAGGGCTCGGGGAGGAGGCGCGCGACCTACCGCCCAGGACGCTGGATTAAAGAGCAGCAAGACGAGGCAGCGGGCGGGTGGATAAGGGGAACTTGTGCAACAGATTAATTCATCCCTACCATTTCTCCTGCGCGGTTATTTACAAAGTGACCGGGAGCGGGAAAATTTCCAGTTACATAGATGTTAATTCTTAACATATATTACAATAATAAAACAAACTCGGATACTTCTTGCTAGCTAGGTAACGGGGTTGCCCTCTCCTTGAGGAAACATGAAGGGACCTTATTGTACTTGTGATTTTATTATGCTTATTGTTTTATTATGTTTAAGTTTGACATTAGTAGTATTAGTTTGTAGCCATACAGGAGATTATTCAGGAGATTGCTTACATGAAAAGAGCAAGGTAAGGTTCAATGGTCCAAGAAATAAGGAGGAGGGAAATGAGTTATGGATGGAACCTGGATTGATGTATATGAGTCATCATTTTGGAATTTGTTTTTGTTTTTTGTGTGTGCTTCTTTGCTCCTGGTACAGGAGACCTGGATCTCTTTGTTCTGAAAAAGTATAAAAGGTAGAAGAAACCTCTTCTGGGTGTGCCTTCGTCCCTCTAAGCAGCCACGAAGAAGGAGAAGGTTACTCAACTCTATCTTGGCCAAAATAAAGTTGTTTTCTTCGCTGGAATCTTGGCTCAGGAGTTTCTTTTGGCTCTTTAAAATTTCTAAGTAGTGCAGAGAAGTTTGTGAGGTTAAGTGGAAAACCTTACAACCATATTCTGAATTTAGAGATCCCCCTGGATTCTGAACTTCTGGTGAAATAAGTAGCAGTCAAGATAGGAACCTTTGCCCAGCTCAGAATGTTCTGCCAATTGTGGCCCCACCTGGATCATGAAATCTGGCTAATATTAACTCCCATTCTCATAACCACACAATAGAATTCCTGTCATATGCTCTATGGAGAGCCACTTTGATATAGTGGTTAAGGCATCAGGCTAGAAATCAGGAGACTATCAGTTTTAGTTCTTCCTTAAGCACAGAATCAGCTGGATGATTTTGGGCCAGTTACTCACTCTACGCCCTAGGAAGCAGACAATGGCAAGCCACTTTTGAAATCAAGTCAAGAAAACTGCAGGGACTTGTCCAGGCAGTTATCAGGTATCAGTGCTAACTTGAAGGCCCCTCCCCCCCCTATTTTTTTCTATATATGCAGCAGTTTTTGAAAATGGCCAAGAAACTGCAGTAAGATAACATGTACCAGCCCAGAAGCAACCTCACATTGCTCACTGCCGCTACAATATAAAACTTACCTCTAATTGCCATGTTCATTATTCCTAGATTTCTACGTCCAATTAAAAGTGCTATTTTGGGGCCCAAAGACCATAATAACATCCATGCTTTGAATCTACTAACTTAGGAGTGATGCCTTGCCTTTTCCCTGCTGGTATTTGAAGATCAGATTATTTAATCATGCTTTGATGGATGATAGTTATAGTTTTTGTTGGTTGATATAGATGGCTGACTTTCATATAAGTTCTTCTGAGACACTATAAATAATGTCAATATTTTATGAGTTTTAGTCTGCAAGAGCCAATTTTGTGTAATAGTTAAAGGCACAAAACTAGAAACCATTCTTTTAAATTTCATGCCTGGCATGAAACCCAGCTAAGTCACTTTGGGACAGTCACTTTTCTGATTCTTAGGTAAGCCATCAAAGGCAAGCCACTTCCAAAAATATTTTACCAAGAAAAGTGCATGTTGCCAGCAATTGAGGTTGACTCTGAGGCACACACAAACACAAGTATACTTAGCATCCCTGAGGTTTCCCATTCAAATGCTAACCAGATACAACCCTGTTGAGCTTTTGGTCTCATCAACATAAGGTAAATGCATCCATTATCTGAAACTGTAAAAGTAGCTATTGATTGTGCAGACACCTTAAGGGCTTGTTTAAATCCACATTTCTAAACATTACATCATACTCACTTCCCTGGATTTCATAAACTAGTTTGCACAGGCAGCAGATGACACATGTAACTTCCCTGTCTGATTCCCTTTGAACAGAGAAACTGGATAAACCAACGATCAATAATATTAAATATTGAATAGTAATCAAATATCAGCAAAATATAAGCAGTATAAGTATCAACAAGAAGTCAATGAGAAAATACTATGTTAAAAGTATTATTTTAACAAGGGTGCATTTTTAAAAAATTAACTTTGCACCTGCAGTCAAAGAGGATTTGGTGCAGGCATATTATACATAGACCAAACCAAACTCAGCAGATCAGTATGGAGGTTCCTAACATCCTGCAGTAGTATTCAGGATTAAATCTACACATGAAAAATTGATAATGGCTTGCATTAAATATGAATAATTTTCCTATTAATTTCAATGGATCTCATGCTCATGACAAATTCTGAATGTGACAAATATAATTTTGAGCATGGATACTCAGCATTGATCCACTAATAAGAAATTAAGCCACTTTGTACTTCAAAATAGTGCTTTTTTTCAGGAGAAAGCAGAGTGGACTGAGCAACTCTGAGTGGCCAAATACTAGAAAATAAAAAAATATTATTTTTCTTTATCTCAGCTCTTACACTACTGTATATTAATAATAATAATAATAATAATAATAATAATACTGCAAGAAACAAACCAATTAATGTACAGCACAGCTGCAGTTATAACAGAATACCTGGGATGTAAAATCAACAAAAAAGAAAAACAAACAAACAGTGCACCACAAAAATGGAAGGTTAGACTAGAAAATAAGATCAGCAAGTTAAGATCACATGCAAGCAAGCTAGAACAGATGAAAGAAAAGAAGCTGAAGAACAAGAAGACCAAAGAATACCTAATCAAGAAATACCACTTAGAAACAAGGAAGATCAAGGAAGCACTGGAAATAATAAAGCAACAAATAACAGCTATAGCCAGGAAAATCAGTAGATATGAAGCTCGAATTGCAAACTATAGGCAGAACCTCCAATTTCAATCCAATCAGAAACGTTTCTACCAATCCATCAATGGAGAAACTGCAAGGAATCAGTCAGTACCTGACAAGGAAGAAACAGTGCAGTTCTGGAAGCAGATATGGGATAACCCAAAGAAATACAACAAGGATGCGGCTTGGTTAAAAGAGGTGGATGCAAATAAAACAGAAGTTGAAATGAAAGAACTAGTAATAACAACAAAAATGGTAGAAAAAAGAGCAAAGAAAATCAAAAATTGGTCAGCACCAGGTGAAGATGAACTGCATGGGTTTTGGTTGAAACATCTAACTGTTATACACCCACTCATTGCCAAGCAGTTCAACAATATACTACAAGGAGGAGAAATTGAAAAGTGGCTAACAACTGGGAAAACCTACCTAATAATGAAAAATCCAGCAAAAGGGGCAACACCAGGTAACTACAGGCCAATTACCTGCTTACCAACAACTTTCAAATTACTAACTGGTGTGGTAGCTGATGCAGTACAACAGCATCTAGTTGAAAACAATCTCTTTCCACCTGAGCAGAAAGGAAACCGCCCCAATAGCAGAGGAACAAAAGATCAACTCCTAATAGACAAAATGATCTTGGAAAACTGCAAGAGAAGGAAGACCAACCTGAATGTGGCATGGATTGACTACAAAAAGGCATTTGACTCTCTGCCACATGATTGGATAATCAAGTGCCTAGAAATAACAGGAGTCAGTAGAAACATCAGAAAATTTGTGCAAAAATCGATGGCACAATGGAAGACACAGTTGCAGATCAATGGTGAGAAGCTGGGAGAGGTTAATATCAAGAGAGGAATATTTCAAGGAGATTCATTATCACCATTACTATTTGTTATTGCACTGTTTCCTCTGTCAACAATACTGAATAACTCAGGACATGGTTATCAAACATCAAAAACATCTGCTAGACTATCCCATCTCCTTTACATGGATGATCTGAAGCTGTATGGAAAAACATCATCTGAAATAGAATCGCTGCTCAACACTGTCCGTATATATAGCCAAGATATTGTAATGGAGTTTGGCTTGGACAAATGTGCCACACTTACTATCAAACAAGGAAAAATAGTGAAAACTGAAGGAATCAAGATGCCCCACGAAAATAACATTAAGAGTCTGGATGAGGAAGAGTACTACAAATACTTGGGTATCCTTCAAGCTGACAACATCAAGCACACTGAAGTCAAGAAAAAGATTAGAGGTGAATACATCAAGAGAGTGAAGAAGATCTTAAAGTCCAAACTCAATGGAGGAAATACCATAAAGGCAATCAACACCTGGGCAATCCCAGTCATTAGGTACACAGCTGGAATAGTGGACTGGACTCAAGCAGAACTAAAAGCAATGGATAGGCAGACCAGAAAAATAATGACAATGAATCATGCCCTTCATCCACGCAGTGACATTGATAGACTTTATCTACCAAGGCAAATAGGTGGGCGTGGAATGCTACAAGTACATCAGATGGTTGAAGAAGAAAAAATGGCTTTGGAAGAATATCTGAAGAACAATGATGAAGATGCACTGAAATTAGTATATCAGGAAGGCTTACTAACTACTGGAGAGACCAAACTGGCCTACAAGAAAGACCAAATGAAGAACAGAATAGAGGCATGGGAAGACAAAGCACTACATGGCCAATACATTAAAAAAATAGCTGGGAAAGCAGATAATAATAAAACCTGGCAATGGCTAAGAGCAGGAAAATTGAAGAAAGAGACCGAGGGACTAATTCTGGCTGCACAAGACCAAGCCTTAAGGACAAATGCATACAAAGTCAAAATTGAGAAGACAGCAACAGACAGTAAGTGCCGCCTATGCAAAGAAGCTGAAGAAACAGTGGACCACTTGGTAAGCTGTTGCAAGAAGATTGCACAGACTGATTACAAGCAGCGGCATGACAAAGTAGCAACAATGGTGCATTGGAAGATCTGCAAAAAATATCATTTGCCTGTAAGCAAAAACTGGTGGGATCATAAAATAGAGAAAGTCATAGAAAATGATAAAATTAAACTGCTCTGGGACTTCAGAATTCAAACAGACAAGCA